GTCTTTCGAATCATCAATTTCGTCGGGTGTTAGGACGGACGCGCGAAGTTGGAGGTACGAATCCGAAACGGGAAGATCATATTCGCAATTAGAACTTTCAACTTCGTCATAGAACTTTCAAGTTCGTCCGAAGTCGATAAGAAGTTCAAGTTCGTGTCAATAGAACTTTTAATTTCGACTTTCGAACCTTCGAGTTCGTCATAGAACTTTCAATTTCGTCGAGTACACCTTCAGACCTTCAATTTCGTCCCTTTAGGAAAATCGACTTCGTCGTTCGGAACTTCGATTTCGTGTTTGCGGGGCAATAAGGCCAGTACTCTCATGACGAGGCTTATGATTAGTGCTGGCGGTACACAACCGAAGTAGTACTACTACTAATCTTGTGATTCACAAGATTACACACCAGCCTCTCTTTTGCAAGGGGTGTTCAGGCTAATACTCAAGTTAGAGTCTCAAGTCAAGGTACTGCAAGATGACAGTCCTGTCGTATTCCTATCTCTACGAGGAATAGGTCAGATATGCCCTCTCTAGTTTGCACTCGCGCAACAGTACGCCAGCTTCTTATCATCACCAGAATGAACTCACGAGAACCGACTTCTTAATCATATCGAAATTTAGTGCTTCAGACTTGTTCGATAGACGCGGCTGCTCCGCTTGTAACCCTCTGCTCATCTTTCTTTTTTTGGAAACAGAAATATACACGCTTGACATGGTGGATTGTACGTGTCACAAGTGAAACGTTCAACAACAGCCTTAACCAGTCAAACAAATAAACAGAGCCCACAGAGAGACAGGCGGAACAATGGTACGTAGTATTAGCTATACTGCAGTATGAGGGTTGGGGAGTTCACCATCAGCCACGATGTCGCTGGAAGACTCTCCCGCTCTCTTGGAGGGAGCAGCTTTCTATGGAGGGCTGTCTAAACAGATATGAAGTCGAACAGCTAGCGCGCGCCACCAAAAAAAGTCACGCCGCCGCCGTCAGTACTCGTACGGCCGGGAGGTAGTGAATCTGAAGGCGAGTCGTCTGAAGCGGAGGAGTCGAGGTAAGCTGCTTTGTCGCGGACTAAGCTCTTGCCCAAAAAGACAGCTGATCTGGTAGTATGGGTTGGCAGGAACAATGCAGTTCTATGCAGGCATTGGTAGGTGGAAGAGTTGGCTGGTGGTAAGGAGGCAGTTTGCCTCAGGCTGAGGAGGAGGAGGAGGTGGATGAGGAGGAGGAGCCGACTTCTGGAGGCGAGCGATCTGAGGATGATGAAGATGGGTTGGACTTCGCCACGGGTAGAATCGACTTCAAAGACCCTCCTAGTGTGTCGAGGAAGCCCAAGGATGGTTTATCCCGGACTGGGCGGTGACGACTTGCTGTAAAGGAAGAGAGTCTACATCAGGCTGGCAGACGAGGCTAGAGATTTGCTGGAGGCTGTCTGAATGTGTCTTTCTACGGGTGGGAAAGGGTTAATGACGTACGTAGAGACGAAAAAGTGCAGCTGCTACTGACGTAGTACAACAGCAGCTCAAGTACGACGCATAAAGTAGTAGATCAAATAGCTCAAGTACGACAGTCGTACTTGAGCTATTTGATCTACTACTTTATGCCCGAGGCTAGAGGAGTTAGTGTGAGGTAGCATCCTTTTATTGGTAAAATTGCCTGAATTAAGGCTACGCTTGAACGCCTGGAATCGATAGAGAAGACAGTTGGGGATCAGGCCGATAAGGTTGTCAGTCAAGCGCAGACGCCTGAGCCCGATCCTGGGATGAGGGATCTCGGTGAGCTACTAGCTAGATTCGACCGGGGGCTGATGAGGAAGGGGAGGAGACTGAGGACAGTGAAGTGGTGGAAGAGGAGATGAAACCGGCTGCCAAGGTCTCAAAGGCTGATTTCGTGGAGCCCCTAGGGTCGACGTGAACGGAGGCTGAGCAGCCGGGGGCTCTGTGAGAGATGATGGGGAGGAGGATGGAACTGAACTGTTGAGGTTTAAGGCTGGGAGAAAGTAGAAGAAGTTTCGGGCAAGGGTGGCAGAAGGTAGTTGGTTGTATGTGGCTGGTTGGTGGGTAGTCTTCTGTTGTAGGTATGCTGGAGTGGAGTCGGTGAGCTTACACGCAGTAGCCGAGGTGGAGGACTTGATCTACACGCGAAGCAATCTGGCGGATACTCTCAATTCGGTAGGTAGTGTTGGTATAGGGTTGGTATGTTCCTATTGCCGTACCAGGTGGGGGGGGTTGCCTCTGATCGTGAGAGCCGTGCGGGTAGGGATGATGATGTGAAGGTGCGACAGGGCATGTCTATGAAGGATATAAGGGCTGGTAGGGTGAAGCGAATAATGGGAAGGTAAGGAGAGTCTGAGGAATGTTAAAGGATGTCAGAGGAGTTGTTTAGGTCGAGAGGGCGACAGTGACAGGAGGGACCTTAGATGATGCGGAAGTGAGGGAGGCTGACTTGACGGCCAAGGCACAAGCGGTCGTGCCGGACGAAGAGGTAGTAGTGGTACTGGGGGTTGGCTTTATGCTTGCTTGGTCATGGCAATGGGCGGTCAATCGATGAACTTATGAAATGTTAGATGTGTTGTTGTTCGCAATGAAAGTGTGGTCAGTTTTACAACACTGTTGGACACGAATGGTGTTCAGATGGAAGTCTAAGGCTTACGGTCGACTAGCCATCAATAAGAATGAGGGCTTTACACACATGCGGGAAAAGGAAGACCGGAACGCACGTGTTATGGACTAGAGGGCAGTCAAACATCGTAAGGGGGCAGTCAAACGTCGTAAGGGGGCAGTCAAACGTCGTAAGGGGGCATTCAAACGTCGTAAGGGGGCATTCAAACGTCGTAAGGGGGCAGTCAAAGGTCGTAAGGGGGCGGTTAAAGGTCGTAAGGGGGCAGTCAAACGTCGTAAGGGGGCAGTCAAAGGTCGTAAGGGGGCGGTTAAAGGTCGTAAGGGGGCAGTCAAACGTCGTAAGGGGGCAGTCAAAGGTCGTAAGGGGGCGGTTAAAGGTCGTAAGGGGGCAGTCAAACGTCGTAAGGGGGCAGTCAAAGGTCGTAAGGGGGCGGTTAAAGGTCGTAAGGGGGCAGTCAAACGTCGTAAGGGGGCAGTCAAACGTCGTAAGGGGGCAGTCTAGGATGGTACATATAGTGGAGGAGCCACTGGTATTGGTATCAACGTCAAGAAGGGTGTCAAACTCGGCTAGAGTAGTGGCTTGGGAACAGTAGGCTGTTCATACGTCAATTGCATGTATACCAATACTGCGGTAAATGTCCTCTAACGTTTCTCTGTTATGGAGGGGTTGAGTATGTGGTAGCGGTGTTGAACTGTGTGAGTAGTAGTAGGATATTGTTTTACCATGGTTGAGCTGCCCCCAGTCGGTGTACTTCTATGTGGAGGGGTATCGATGGATTCATCAGATCCGTCCTTGGCAGACATAGGAATCCCCAAGCCGCTCCTGTCAGTGGCGAACAAACCTCTGTATAGGTAGTGCTTAGATTTGAGCTCCGATTCGGCCTTGTTGATGCGGATGGGTAGTTACGCAGTACAGGCGCTGACGGCTAGCCCTTTGGTAAGCCGGGTGGTGCTGATAGGGTGGACAGAGCACGCCGATGCTCTACGGTCATCAGTGAGCGAGTATAAGGATCTGTTCAATGGAGTGGAGGTGTCAGTGGAAGGTGGGAGTGTGAGATGAACAACTCGACGTATAGTGTTTCTAGGGGTACCGGCCGAGGCCTCTGCTGCAGAGGCGTTGATGCTCGTGCTTGAACGACAGGCTGATCTTAAGGGGAAGTCTTTGCTGGTGAGCGGCTGAGGTGTAGACCGCCTTTCTCTGGGATATTGGGAGTATCCCTTAGGTGGGCTATGGCGACTATATGGGCGCATGGCCGGTTCGGAGTACTCAGTCAGCGGCTGAGGTGGAGGTCTCGATGGCCCGTAGGGAAGTTTGTTGTTGATGTTGTTTTGGTATAGCTTATTATTCCTGGCAGGGGTGAAGGATGTCCCTGAGGACTTCGTGTACACGGCGTATGGGACTGTGGAGAAGGTAGTGGTTAGGGGCATCGCTCGTTTGTATGGGAGTGGTCGGTTCAGACAATTGTGGTATTGAAGTCCGCTGAGGCAGTGGCTTTCGACGGCAGTCTGTCCCTGGGCTTGTCCAAGGTCTTTGCAGAGGGGGACGTGACACTGGTGCGCAACCTTGTTGATACTGGCTGTTATTACATGGGTGGCAATGCATTGGAGAGGCTAAGGGAGTTCATGGCTGATGAAGATGAGGTGGACCGGAATCTGAGGGACGGCTTCGTACCGTGGATGGTCGACAAGGGCTATAGGGTGATGCTTGGTGTAGCTCCTGGTTTTAAATGATGAGGTTCAGGTCCTGTTGAACGGTCCTTCGGAGTCTCCATCAGTGGACCCGTGTAAGAGCAGGGTTAAAGGCACTGAGAGCCTCCTACACTTCAACCAGCAGAAGTTGAAGCATGATCGTAGCACAGTGAAGGGCGTCCTGTATGGTTCCTCATCTACAGTGGAAGAGGGAACTGTTGTGAAAAATACGGTATTGGGAAATTCTGTGAGGATCGCTGGTGAGTTCGGTGATGAGGTCACTGTGAGTACTCAAGGCTTGTCAGATAAGTGCCGTGTGACGAAATCAGTGGTGATGGATGGTGTCGAGATTGATAGCGGATCTACAGTCCAGGAATGCGTGTTGGCTGAGGTATGGTATGTGTAAGTGGTAGTAGTAGGGAGTAGTACATTTTAGGGATGCGAGATTGGAAGTAACGTGAAGTTGAGCAAGTGTACTGTGGCGAAGGGTGTTAAAGTGTTGAAGTCGGGAGAATACGAGGAGGAGGACTTTGATCACGACGTGTGTAGCTGAATAATCTGCTAAGTTTCCATGCCCTTTTGCTTTGTGTATTGATGAATACATGGTGTAAAAAGCGCTCGCCCTGGGATAGCAGGTGCGGGTGTATCAACTAGGCTTCAGTGTTAGATGCCATTCACGGCTCTGAGGGAAGCGCTGCGATCGGTGGCGAATATTGACAGATTATTTATGGTACCGATGACAGCACAATACCCGCCATTGCTATCGATGAATTAGGGTGCTCATCCGAGTGGTAAAAGTAGAACAAAGCGTGGTAGAGTGAGGCGGCACAATTGAGATTTTGCCGCATGGGGTCGCCAGAGTTCAACCTTATTAGTTGCAGGGGTTGTAGGGTTATGGTGCTTTCTCATGTTTGTAGTTGGCGAGTGAGGGATAGCGGTGTGGAAGCCGCATGCCTGTAATCACAATTTCGGTCATTGTAGGATATTCGGTTTACCAATACTCACGGTGTTGCTTCCTGCGGTCAATGGTGGTGGCGCGACAAGGGGCGTAGGAATCATTTCAGTTCACTATGGATGATGGCTTGAAGTGGGAGCCTTCGACAGCCGGAGCCCGACCGTCCTCCAATATTCAGGGTAAGTTCGTGACGAGAAGGCGTACCGTACCTGTGTAGTAAGAATCATACCACTCCAATGAGAATTTTCGGTCAGGGGTAGTGCTCAGTGTTAGCCAGTTGCTAGAGTGAGAGTTTGAAATGACGAGTTGCTGATGGAAACCTATCGCGGAACACTCTCCGGTTCAGATGTATCGGAGGCCTCGTCTAATGCAGTGATTCTAGCTGTGATGAGGGAGAGGCTGGAGAAAAGTCTGAGGGATAAGGAGAAGATGCGACAGAGGATGGAGCTGTTGGAGGATGAGTTGGCTCTGTGCAAGGTGAGGGGGATACACTCCCCTATGTGACGACACTAGAGAGGCAGGTGAAGAAGCGGTCCTATAGAGCGGATGGTAAGCGTCTGAAGGCTGAAGTGGATACGCTGAGGGCGAGGGCGGCGTGCTTGGGTGAGGAGTCTTCTAGTAATGTGGAAGAGGTGCGGTATTGGCAGAAGACGGCAAAAGAAGCGAACAAGCACTTAACTGAGTAGATATTTAATTCATGGCTATACCATTGGGGACTCTTTAGGATGAGTAAGAGCTACAGTCACGAGGTCCGACTCCTGCAGAAGGCAGTCGAGTGTGCCCGGGGTAATAGTGGCGGCAAACAGCAGTTGAAACCGAGCGAAACCGCTGACCTGGTCGAGAGACTGAGTAGAGCTGTCCTACAGAGAGATGAATCTTTTCGGGAGAAGATACGTCTTGGCACCAAGGTGGGGACGTGTTCGTTACCCTTGGCTGATGAGCTCAGGAGTGACCTCATGGGAGTTTATATACGAACTTGGGTGTGCAGAATTTTCATATAGTAACTGACACATGTATAACGCTGGTGGTTTGTAAACACTTGCACATAACTACTCGATTGGGGCAGGGCGATTGGGGCGACTGCATCTCATCACAGGTACGGGAGTTTCGGCAGCAAGTGTCGGCCCTACAGAGGGACCGGAACTTGTTATCGATGAAGTTGAACGCCGCGACTAGGCAGATGAAAACGCTGAAGGAGTCTAACAAGCTGCTTATGGGCGGTAAGGGTTGGCCGTGTGCGATGGAGTTAATAGTGAAAGTAGGCTCATTGTTGGCTCAACGAGGGACTGTGGTGATGGTGAAAGAGAAGGATAGGAGAGGTAGGACGATAATTATGGTCGGGAAAGTTGCATAAAATTTAACACTGCTTTGTCAGAGCCAGCTTCCACTGTAACGTCAGAGACTCCTGTACTAGGTGATGACGATTTTGAAGTGGAACTACGAGGCTTCGAGCAGCGGTACATGATGCTGGCGGAAGGCAGTGACGGTAAGTTGGGGGCTTATCGTCCGCTGAGGTGGAGGGGTAGGTGCTGAGCAGTTGGCGAGCAGAGTACAGGGGGAGTGTAGGGAGCTGAGGAGGGAGGCGATGCGATGTAGGGAGGAGGCGGACTCCCTCAGGGGTGACCTCATGCAGTGGAAGGACTTGGCTGAAGAGAGGTTAGTGGGCGTGGCCGAGCTGAGGGGTCAAGGGGGCAGTAGGGCGACTGGGGACGAGAGAGGGCTGTCGAGCAGTGTTGGTGATGGTGCTGAGAAGGAAGATATATTTGGCGAGGCGGAGAAGGGTATGTCGAGTAATAGTGATGGAGAGAGAGCCATGCCCAGTGGTGTTGATGAACTTGAGGACGCCGAGGAACAGGAGGAAAGAGCGGCGATAGATGAGGGACTGGTCGAGGAAGGTTATGAGTGCATGACGCTGTACAAGGAGATACAACAAGTCAACACTGGGCAGACTATGGAGGTGAGACACTCGCATAATTGAGCACCAATATAACCTCTTGTTAGATCGCAGTGCTCGAGAAGAGACTCAATGATGTGTTAGTTGCATACGAAGTGGTGGGAGTAGTTGACGGAGTTGCTTACACCATGACCGTAAACCCTCGGTATGCACGGTCTTGGACTGCTGACCTATCGATACTTTCCCTTTACAGATGCTATCAGGGATGCGAACCTGATGATATGACTTGGATATCGGAGGTGGTCACCTTGGTCGGCCTGGTGGAGGACGAGGGAGGAAGGGGGCAGAAGCGTCTTGTTGTACCGGAACCCGCTGGTAAGTCGGCTCGGTCATGGTGGCCTCTTCGATGGTCTGCGGTGGTAGCATCGACTGAGCGCGGCAATGTGAACATAACTCTGTACCAGTACACACCTACTCTGTATTACATCACCGCCTATGACAGTGAATTGGGAACAGTGGGATCGCGGACCGTCGACTTGACAGGTGTTGAGGAGTTTCGAGGTATCCTGTGGGCGAGCGAAAAGTGAAAGATACCTTGGGAGTTTAACGCTTTTAGATTCTTCTCTTTCGGATTCGGAGCTCACCCGATGGTTAGTCGATCACCTCGAAGTGTCTAGTGACATCCTTTCCATCAGCATTCGTGTAGGCATGAAGCATGACGGTGTTGATGATGATAATGGCTTGGAGTCGCCTTCAGCCGTTGGTTGACAGAAGTTTTGCGATGTTGACTTGAGTAGTGATTTGTACGTCAAATAAAGATGTGTCAAAACTCGAGCAGTTATGAAGTAGCAAAGGAGCGTTCATACTTCGACTGCATAACAACAACGTCCCTGTAGTTTTCAACAGATTATCTATTGAGACATGAATGTACCATTATCGATCTATACAGCAACGGAGCAAAAACATGGGATCCATTACAGCGAGGGATATCACCGAGTCTACTTCCTTCACTATGATACTGATAAAGATGTATTCGTATCTAATAAAATAGTAATATTGAATCAGCATGCGATCTGCCTCGGACCGTTGCCGGATTTGTTGAAATCGCAACGGGAGCGAGGAAAATGAGAATGAGTGGTGTATTGCGAACATACTAATGCTAGGACAGCAACATGGTAGATAATGATTTCTCAAGCATAACGTGGATAACAACAGCGCGGATAAAATATAACGCAGAATAGAGCAATCATAAACAACAGGAAGGTAATGTTATAGAAAACCATGGAGGTGATAGTCACACTGTGAAAAAATAGCAACGCCATCAACTGTAACGGGTGACAGGGAAAGTGGGCAATGCAGCAACTACTATGGGATAAGAATACAATTCGTAGTAATCGATGTAGTTGTCACGAATAGCACGAAATAAAACTACGTATAATGCACATAGTAGCAATTCTACGATGCGGAAGCTGTAGTCGGGAGCATGGGAGCTGCTATTGTTGTAGAACGCTCTAGTGATAGTAGTATCGAAGGAAGCTGCTATTGTTGTAGAACGCTCTAGTGATAGTAGTATCGAAGGAAGCTGCTATTGTTATAGAACGCTCTAGTGATAGTAGTATCGAAGGAAGCTGCTATTGTTGTAGAACGATCTAGTGATAGTAGTAAACAGTACGCTTAGTGCGGATCGATCACATCATATTGTTGTCCATCTGTAATCCATCACGATCGACAATCGGCATATAATACGCAAATAAAACGATAATAACGATTCAGCATGTTACTATATGGAAGTAATAGTACAGAGGATAACATAATTCGGGTGGGGACTCGAATATAAATGCGATGTCACCAAACATCATATCCCAACAAGCGCCTCAACAAGTTAAAGTACACTTGTGATACTTTCAAACGATAGGACAAAATGAATGGGCCTTTACCACCAACAGAGAGTCAACTTTGATATTTTATAGATGTAATCCTTGACGGTTTCATCGGCAAAATTATCACCGATTCACATATCACTCGATGAAAGTGTCCAATCTAGACACGTCCCAGAGAGGTGTGTACTCGTATAGGATGAGACGGACCTTCATAACGCAACAACTTCCCACTAGGACCAGTTGTAGGCTGATGATATCGACATTCTATTGGGGGCAGGGGTGGTGGGATCGGCGGTGGGGGACCTCGACAGGTCACGGGCGGCATAGGAGGCGGCGGCGGTGGGGGAGGAGGAGGGCCCGCTGGGGCATATCTCGGCTTGGGAGGAGCACCAAGGACCACATTGTTAGCGATGGTATGTGGATCGATGGGAGGACTATTATTAGGAGATGGGGTTACCATTAGCAAGTCAGCCTCGAGCCGCCGACGACAATGCAACGAGTTGTCGATACTAGTCCTGGAGCCCGGGGGGTGCTCTACACTAACAGTACCACACTTGTATGCAGAGCTATGATATAGCGACTTGGAGCACCCGACACTGGGCGGACCAACTACACTGTCACTATTCTTACTACTCGTCAAACAATCCTCATCTACGGACTTGTTGGGATTACCAAAAAGTGCGTCGATTATACGTACCGTGGCACTCTGGTCATACGTGAAATAGTCGAGTCCTGTTACAACAGGATTTCTAACCATCAACTTGATGTCGTGCAATCTTGGAAAATACTCAGCCACAAGTTCACAGAACTGTCTGGGGTGCTTTGGTAGGGGCTTTCCAGTGAGGACTTTAAGCAAGGCCGCGGACGCGATACCGCCAGAGTTGACCAGCCAGGCGACATCCTCAGACAAAACGATTCCACTAGCCATGAGGAACTCCCCAAAGGCCTCGTGTTCAATGCCCCTATGCACGGCAGATGCGAAGTCAACTCCGGCACCCCCAACTTCAGCTGAACTGCCCAATACTTTAACCCTATCAGCAGCGTAGAGATCAGTGAGCAAGTTGAATTTGAAGTTTAGTTTCCAACAGCAACTTGCCGGGCCTAGATTTGGATGAGAAGCGCAGTTCCCGTGGGCATCGGCAAAGGAGAAACATATTTGTACTATCTTGACAAGGTCTACGTTCGCCTTCATGAATTGGTAGTTGTACTCATTGGTACTGTCGAATGGACCTGAATTGCAAGAAATATGGTATGAGTATATCCCTTTTAAAGGGATGTACTCATACCACAATTCCATAGAATATAAAGGGATCCTTCATATTCCAACCCTACGACTACTTTCCACGCCTATTTGAACAATAGTAAGTCCTTTCTGGACTGCGGGGCGTAATTAAATTAAAGACATTATTTCAGAAAAACCGGAGTGTTCATAGACCTCTCCCGAGCTTCAGGG